GAGGGGGGGGCGCGGCTGTGGGGGTGGGTGCTGATGGTGCTACCGGCTCACAGCCCAGTTCCATTGCAGAACGTGCAGCACTTCAGCCTGGAGCGGGACACATCAGGGAAGGTGCTGCTGGAGGACGGGAAGGGACGCTGCCCCTTCGACCCTGAGTACCGGTCCACGGCCGTCATGGTCGGTAAGGCACGGCACCCCAGGACCCTCGCTCTCTCTGCAGTCCCGAGCTGCTCGGCTGGGCTGAACCGGGGCTGGGCCAGCACGGACCCCGGCAGGGGAGCGGGGCTGTGCCACACGGCACGTGCCGGGTCCCAGCGGGAGTGTCTCTTTGGCAGATGGTGAGCTCTATGCTGGGACTGTCAGCAACTTCCAGGGCAACGAGCCGACCATCTACCGCAGCCAGGAGAGCCGCATCGCCCTCAAGACGGAGAACTCCCTCAACTGGCTGCAGGGTGAGAGCTGGGGCTGGCGCAGTGGGTTGGGGTCTCCATCCCCCACGACGGGGGAGGCGTGGGGATGGGGGCCGGCCCTGGCAGGGGGCGATGCTGAGGGTTCCTGTGTCCCCAGACCCGGTCTTCGTGGGCTCAGCCTACCTGCGGGAGAGCCTGCCTGCCGGCAACCCCGAGGGTGACGATGACAAGGTCTACTTCTTCTTCAGCGAGACTGGCAAGGAGTTCGACTACTTCGAGAACACCATCGTCTCCCGCATCGCGCGGGTGTGCAAGGTGGGTGCAGGGCAGCGGGGGTGTGCGTGAGGGGCCGTGCCCAGGGTGTCACTCACTGCTGGGGTGGGGGGGGGATGTGGGACCACCCTGCACATCTCTGTCCCCCAGTTCCTGGACACCCCAGAAGGGGACCAGTGCCCTCAGTGCTCCTCTGCGGCAGTTACAGATCCGTAGTGCCCAGCCCAGGGCTGTGGCTCAAGTCTGCTGCTCCCACCAGCCCCGTTGGTGGCAGTGACCCTTCCCCATCTCTGCTGCCTCGCCAGAGGGGACACAAGCCCCGTCCTCCTTTTGGGTCATGTTTCCCTTCCCCTGGGCACCTCAGACACTGCTTTGCTTGTCCCACCCCGACACCGGGTCTGCTCCCCTGGGGCCTCGGCACTGCTGCACAGACGGACAGACCCCTGCTCCACTCGCCCAGCCCTGTGGGGCTCCCTGCTGCCGGGCGGCCGTGGCATCACGCCCTGACCTACTGTGCCGTGCAGGGGGACCAGGGCGGGGAGCGTGTGCTGCAGCGGCGGTGGACGACCTTCCTGAAGGCGCAGCTGCTCTGCTCGCACCCTGAGGACGGCTTCCCCTTCAACGTGCTGCAGGATGTCTTTGTACTCACCCCAGGGGAGCTGCGCCGGAGGGGGGCGGTCTTCTCTGGGGGCTTCACCTCAACGGGTG